TCGAACACGGCAGTTTTCGAACGCCGCAGTTCTGGACACGGCCCACGGGCCGCCCTTGAGTCGAGTCTTTTTGTGCATCGTCAATTCTGTCTCTTTGCGTAGATCGCCCGAGACCCGGACGATCATCCAGCGCGGTGTGCGGTCTGCCGGCCGTCCTCTTCGGACCTACGTCCGGCGGCTGGTGGACGCCCCCCGCGCAGGCCGAAGCAGTCTCGGTGCAAGCTTCGACTTTTGCCACGGACGTGCCACAAAAAAAAAAAAAAATGATGGGATGCTGGTGATGATGCTGATGATGATGTTGATAATGGTAATGGTGATGATAATGGCGCTGATGACGATGACAATAGTGATGGTGGTGCTAGTGATGATAATGGTAGTGATGGTGACGATGGTCACGATGGTGATGGTGAAGGTGGTGGTCTTGATGGTGCTGCTGCTGCTGATGATGATGATGATGATGATGGTGATGATGGTGGTGATGGTGATGATGATTATGCTGGGGGCTTCGTGGGCCGTGTTTGGCGATCGGAAGCCCGAACGGGCGGAAACGCCCAACTTGCTCTACATTGAGGGAATGCAGAATGCATGCAATGTGGTCTCTAGGGACCTTGGGGCTGTCTTGGGCCATCTTGGGGTCATCTTGGGGGCCACTTTGGACTGTCTTGGGACGCTCTTCAGCGTCCTCAATATCTTCCTCGGGAGTTCAGGTACTCGGTGGTCGGACCTTGCCAGGACTTGCTTGGTGTACGTTTCGTCCAGAGTTTCCTCCAGGAGCCGCCACGCGCGCGCGCGGAGTACATACTATACATACCTGTGACCAGAGACTCCAGCACACCGTTGGCCCACATGGCTGGCGAAGTCAACGCTTCCGAAGCCACTTGGATGACGAGAGGAGACCGCACACGGGTGGGAAGGCGGCACATAACTCCGTTTCTTCTGGGACGGCACTGGATTCGAGCAACACGCGGCTTGTTATCATCTCCATTGGTCGGTCAGTCGAAGTTTGGTTTGTTCTCTGCTGCGGTTTCGACGTATCTGGTTCAAGCGAGAAACGTCTGTTTACCGCAATCGGCTATTTGCCTGTGTGCTCGTACAATCTAAAGGCTGCCGCCTCTGCCGCCGACCCCAGAGAAGTTCAGGGAGGCTAATTTGCTCAGTGCGTTTGGCTGACCGCGTTTGCTTTTCCGTATGCGTGTTTCCGATAAGTCGGACGGGCATCGGCGTCCCGGGGCCGCATGTTCGAAATTTACGCCCGGGTTCCTCCTCTGGGCCCCCTCATCCGCCGTCCTGTGGCCCTCTTCGGCCGTTTTTTTTTGGCCGCTCTGGAGTCGTCCTGGGTCGTGTAGGTTAGGTGCAATCGCCCTGGTTTGTATTAGCTTCTGCGAATCGACGGGGCTCCCATGATTGGACTTGGCTGTGTGTGTGTGCGTGTGTGTGTGTGTGCCCGTGCGCGTTCGGAGTAAGGTGGACGGGGGTGCAGTTTGAATGTGTGTGTGCGTGGAAGTGTGTGTGTGTGTGTGTGTTTGTGTGTGTGTGTGCGCGTGTGTGTGTGTGTGTGTGCGTGTGTGTGTGTGTGTGTGTGTATGTGTGTGTGCTGTGTGTGTGTGCGTGCCCGTGCGTGTCCGGAGTAGGGAGGAGGGGGTGCATCTTGAATGTGTGTGTCTGTGTGTGTGTGCGCCCGTGCGGGTTCGGAGTAGGGAGGAGGGGGTGCATTTGGATGTGTGCGTGGTGGTGTATGTGTGTGCCCGTGCGCCTTCGGAGGAGGCAGGAGGTGGTGCATTTTGAATGTGTGTGTGTGTGTTGGTGGTGGTGGTGGTGATGTGTGTGCGTGCCCGTGCGCGTTTGGAGTAGGGAGGAGGGTGTGCATCTTGAGTGTGTGTGTGTGGTGGTGTGTGTGTGTGTATGTGCGTGAGTGTGTGTGTGTGTGTGTGTGTGTGTGTGTGTGTGTGTGTGTGTGTGTGTGTGTGTGTGGGGGGGTGCTTGTGTGTGTGTGCCCGTGCGCTTTTGAAGTAAGGAGGGCGGGGGTGCATTCTGAAAGTGTGTTTTGTGCGTGGAGGTGTGCGTGTGTGTGTGCGCGCGTGTGTGTGTGTGTGTGTGCGTGTGTGTGTGTGTGTGTGCGTGCCCGTGCGTGTCCCGAGTAGGGAGGAGGTGGTGCATCTTGAATGTGTGCGTGTGTGCGTGTGTGCGCCCGTGCGGGTTCGGAGTAGGGAGGAGGGGGTGCATTTTGGATGCGTGTGTGTGGTGGTGTAGTGTGTGCCTGTGCGTTTTCTGAGGAGGGAGGAGGTGGTGCATTTCGAATGTGTGTGTGTGCGTGGCGGTGGTGGTGGTGGTTGTGTGTGTGTGTGCCCGCGCGGAGGAGCAGGGAGGAGGGGGTGCATCTTGAATGTGTGTGTGTGTGGTGATGTGTGCGTGTGTGTGTGTCTGTGTGTGTGCGTGTGTGTGTGTGACCTCTTGAACTACTCCAGGCTCCGTAGCCGACAAGTTGGACGGCGCGAGTTCACTGGAAGTGCGTTGATATCCAATCGGTCTTGCGATGGACCCTGGGGGCTTCCTGGGGGCTTCCATCGGCCTCTTCGGGGCCTCTTGGGGCTTCCTGGGGGCTTCTTGGGCCGAGGGCTCGACGTGTTGTTTCGTGCTCCCCCTCTGGAGCCCTTTTTGGGGCGTTCTTGGGGCCCTCTTGGGCCGTATTGGAGGCCTATGGGGCTGTCTTGGAGCCCTCTTGGGCCGTCTTGGGGCTCTCTTGGGGGCCTCTTGGGCTCTCTTGGGGCGATCTTGGGGGCCTCTTGGGCCGTCTTGGGGCGTCGGGAAGCCGAAAGGTGGAAACGCCAAAAATTTTCCCAAACCGAAGGAAAAGCAATGAATTTTCCCTGTCGGGGCCTTCTTGGGTGTGCTCGGGGAGGCCTCTTGGGGCGTGAGGGGGTCATTTTCGGCGTCTTTGAGCGATCTTGTAGCATGTCGGACCCCTCGTGGGTAGTCTCGGGGGCCTTTTGGGGGCGTCTTGGCCCTTCTTGGGGCTCTCGGGGACGTCTTGGAGCCTTGGTGGTGCGCTCCTGGAACGCTCTGGGGGAGTCGCCCGGGGATCAGCCGGGAATCTCCTGGGGTATTTTTCGTCCGGGGACCCCAAGGGGCCGCCCCGCGCGCGCGAAGAAGAAATACTGTAAAGCAGTTACCGGAGATCTTAGCACGCTTGTGGCCCGTTGGGCCGGCGAATTCGCGCTTCGAGCTTCGCGGTCCTCCCTCCTCCTCCCCCTCCCCCTCATCCTCCTCCTCTCCCCCTTGGGGGGCGGCGCGAGAGCGCGAAGTTATTTGCGTTTCGCGCTTCGCGTTTCGCGCAGCGCGCAGCGCGAACATAGGAGCCCGTCGGAAACCCTACCTGACAGTTCACGGGCATCTTAAGACGCCCACATCGTGTAGGCACACGGGAAGGAACGCGCTTGTGCTCACGTTAGCTGTCGATAGTTGCGTTCAACAGCGTCACATGCGCAGGGGTGCGCGTGGCAGTAGAGAGCCCAAACAGTATGCGCCCCCACATATCTTTGCCCCTTCGTAGAAAACAACTTCCGGCGAGGTGGAGGAGGGTGAGGAGGAGGAGGAGGTGGAGCAGGAAAAGGAGAAGGAGGAGGAGGAGGAGTGGGTGGAAGGAAATGACGCGGATGATGATGATGATGATGATGATGATGATGATGATGATGATGATGATGATGATGATGATGATGATGATGATGATGATGATGATGATGATGATGATGATGATGATGATGATGATGATGATGGTGGTGGTGGTGGTGGTGGTGGTGGTGTGGGGGGTGGTGGGTGGTGGTGGTGGTGATGATGATGATGATGATGATGATGAGGATGAGGATGAGGATGAGGATGATGATGATGATGATGATGATGATGATGATGATGATGATGATGATGATGATGATGAGGAGGAGGAGGAGGGGAGGAGGAGGAGGAGGAGGAGGGGGGGAGGAGGTGGAAGGAAATGACGCGGATGATGATGATGATGATGATGATGATGAGATGAGGAGGAGAGGAGGAGGAGGAGGAGGAGGAGGAGGAGGGGAGGAGGAGGAGGAGGAGGAGGAGGAGGAGGAGGAGGAGGAGGAGGAGGAGGAGGAGGAGGAGGAGGAGGAGGAGGAGGAGGGAGGAGGAGGAGGAGGAGGAGGAGGAGGAGGAGGAGGACGACGACGACGACGACGACGACGACGACGACGACGACGACGACGACGACGACGACGACGACGACGGCGGCGGCGGCGGCGACGGCGGCGGCGACGGCGACGGCGACGGCGACGGCGACGGCGACGGCGACGGGCAGGATAGTTGCTTTCCCTCCGGCCTCGCGGAGACTTGGGCGTGGCGGTAGGGGACCGTTCAGGCTCTCGTGGATCCGCCTGGGGGCCGTCAGGGTACGTACCCCCCCGCCCCCCCCGCGCGGGCAGGGCAGAATCGGACGAATAGTTGCTGTCCTTCCGGCCTCGGGGCAGAGTCGGACGAATACTTGCTGTCCTTCCGGCCTCGGGGCTGTCCCTCCGGGCCGGTCGCCTCGCCTCCGGCCACATCTCTGCTTGAAAATGTTGCTGTCGCTTAGGCGCCGGCCACATCCTTCATTGAACATGTCGTTCTCGCCTTGGCGCCGGCCACATCTCTAGGGATCTAGGGGGGGCCTCGCAGGGCCCACTGGTTTTATTTTCTTTAGGTTTTCGGCCCGAGCCGCCAGACCTCTCTGGGGATCTAGGGGGGCCTCCCAGGGCCCAATGGTTTTATTCTCTTTAAGCCTTCGGCCCGAGCCGCCAGACCTCTCTGGGGATCTAGGGGGGCCTCCCAGGGCCCAACGGTTTTATTTTCTTTAAGCCTTCGGCCCAAGTCGCCAGTCGTCGTCGTCGTCGTCGTCGTCGTCGTCGTCGTCCGTAGCCATTTTGGCTCAAGTGGCAATTTCGGGCAACCCCCGCCTCGAGGGCAGAGGCGGCCGCGCGCGATCGCAGTCCTGGAGAACGCCCCTGGACAGGGACTGCAGCATTGTGAATTTATTCCACACACACTCAAGCATTTTGCTGAGTATTGTAATCACCTTCCCAGAAGGTCTGTTCTTGTGCTGCCATGGCGGACATGGCGGGGATCACCGAGCTCCTCCGCAAGATGAACGAAAGCCAGACGGCACAACATCGTGAGCTGCTCGAGAAGGTTACTGCGACGGAGGCCTCAGTGCAGGCGCTGCAAGGCCTACAACCACAGGTCGCGGCGCTCGAGGACTCTGTGTCGGTGCTGGACAAAAAAGTGGATGCGAAGTGCGCCGAGTGCATGGAGGCTGTAAAGGCATTACAGACACAATATTCTTCAAGGCCTGCATCGTCTGCGAGCTCTGCCCGCAGCTGGTCGACAGGTGCCAAAAGACGTCGTGGAGAAAGCTCGCAGGCCTCAACTATAGCTATGGAGACGAGTGGTGGACCGACGGACTTTCAGAATATATGCCGCAGGTGGATCGGGACGTTCCCGAGAAAGGTGCTGGATGTGACACGCGAACAAGTATGGAGTGAGATTTTAGTCCAGCTACCACCGTCGCTGCCTGCTGCTGATGCATCGCCACACTTCCAACGATCGTCTCAGAGTTTCAGTGTGATTTGGTCGACAGAAGAACAGGCTCGTGACTTTTCAACGTGGTTCGGCATGAACTGTGTAACCTGGAAGGACCCACGCTGTGGTACAGTGACACAGCTCCGCTGCCGTGGCGACCTCCCTCACGAAATACGGATGCGACAACGACACCTAGGACAGGCATGGATGCCACTGATGAAGCTACTCCGTGCACATCGTGACTGGACCCCTCGGTGCAAGCTGGGATGCTCTGGATTCTCGAATGCGATCACGGTGACGACGGACAAGGACGTGTGGGACCTCATACGCGTGGACTCGGACGGCCATGCGGAGTGGGTCCAGGACGAGTGTGAGGACTGGGGCATCACGGCTGACTTAGTGAAGCCGATCATTGACATGCTCAACCTGCTCTGACAGGTTCCTGAAGTGAATGAGGACTGCCGCTCTTTTTCTGTTCCCCCCCTCGCACTCGCCGTCGAGTGTCTTCCCTCTGCCTCCTCCTGTCTCCTGGGTTCCTAGCAGTCGTTTCAGCATTGGGTCTTGGAATTCAGCGACTCTTTTCGGTGCCGAGAGTGGGGGCCACAGGCACCAAAGCCAGACCTTTAACACATTTTTGAGGCTTGCAGAAAAATTCGATGTTCTGCTAATTCAAGAATCTCACGGACACCTTGGGGACTTAGATACTCTCTCTCGCCTCCTCCCTCACCACAAATGCTTTGGTTCCTTCTGCGTTGATATGATCTCTGGGGGCGTCCTTATCTGCATCCACGAGCGTCTTCATATGCAGTTCGACCAGGTCATTCCGATGAATGTTGTTAGTGGCAGATGTCTAACAGTTGATCTCCATGGGCCTCGAGGTGCTCTTCAGCTCTGTTCTCTTCACCTTCCCCCTAACGACTCGATGACTGGTAAGAAAGAATTCCTATCGTGTGTTTCGCGCTCTTTCGACCCTCGACATATGACCGTAATCATAGGCGGTGATTGAAACTTTTGTGCGATGGGTGAGGCCCGTCAACATGTCGATCCAGCTCTGGATCGCACGCCACGTTGCTCGCTTGCCACGGAGTTTGGCTATCTGTTCTCTCGCTTTACTGAGTTTGGACAGGAGAACCATACACATTGCATGCAACGTAATGGAAAACTTGTCAGCACTGCTCGTATTGACAGAATATACACATCTCTCCCATCCTCCATCATCTTGGACCTCTCCCCGGCTGCTGGCGTCGAATGGCAGCCCGCTGAGCTTCGCGATGTTAGTGATCATGTTCCTGTCTATGCTATCCTCGCTGTGCAGTCTCCCAGCTCTTGCGCAGTCATTCCCAAGTGGGTATGCCGTCAGCCTGGATTCACTTGGAAGGTAGAAAAGCTGATCGATGAGATGGGAGTCTCCGAAGATCCAGCTATTGCAGTTTCTGAGGTTAAATCGATAATGCATTTAGCGGCGTCGGACATTAAGAATGAATCGTGCTCGGCTAGCTCGAAAACAATCGGTCATAACATATCGTGGTGTATGATGTATGATCGTGCTCGTCGTCGGAATGATGTGGATAAACAACGTTTAGCTGTTCGCCGCTTTCCCAAGCTGATGGATTTCGTTGACGATGATGCGAATATAGTGAACCCTGATGCGTTTTACGCATACTTGGCAGAGATGAGTCGTCTCGAACTTGAATGCGATCGGCAGGAGCTTTTAAATGATAAGGAGCTTCCCCAACAGGCTAGGACCTCGGGTCTTGCAAAAATTGAACGTCTGTCTCGCGCGTGGGCCCCCCGTCACAAGCAAGTGCTGCTGCAGGGAATTTTGGACCCAAGCGGTAACACCCACACCGACCCCCAAGTTTGTGCTAACCTGCTGCAGGACCACTGAGCGAAAGTTGCCCAACCTTTTCGTCCCTGCCAGGACAGTATGCGTTCTCTGCGTACTTGGATCCAAGCGGCTCCTCAGGACGTTATGTGGACAGTCGACGAAGATCTTTTTGCTAAGAATTTAGATAGGACTCGGGATTCTGCCCCAGGATTGGACGGTATTCCGCACTCTGGTTGGAGGTTTGGTGGGCCGAAGGCGAGGGGTATTCTGTATGCGCATTATCGTCGCATCATTGACGCGGGGCAGATTCCCGATGAATGTAATGATGCTTTCCTGGCCTTTCTTCCCAAGGGAGCGCTGGAGGCAGAGCCGTCTCGCGCGCCTGAGCATGCTCGACCACTTGCCTTAGGGAACACGGATTGTAAGCTCATTTGCAGTGCACTCGCACAGCCGCTGAATATTGTTGCCCGCCGTACTGTCGACAGTGAACAACGTGGTTTCGTTGGAGGGCGTTCTCTGGTGGATAATGTACTAGCTCTGGATTGGAGATGCACCCAATATGCTGCTTATGAAAACGCACCCCTCCCCTGGTATGGCTTTTTATGATATCAAGCAAGCCTTCCCCAGTATCTCACATGATTGGATTATATATGTCCTGAATGAAATGGGCATCCCTGATTGGTATTGCAGTATCGTGAAAAACCTGTACGATAACACGTACATGCACGTACGCTTTTAGGGGCGCATTTATGGCAAGTTCAAGGTTGAGCGTGGCATTAAACAAGAGTGTCCTCTCTCTGGTCTCCTGTTTGCTCTCGGTCTTGATCCCTGGTTCAGGCAGATACGGCATAGTCTTGAGATTGTCCGCGCTCATCCTTGCGCCTATGCTGACGATCTCGGCATTGTTGCATTTGATCTTGGTGCTGCGCACTCTGTCATGGTACACGAGTTCGTGCTGCTCGCCAAGTGCACGGGCCCGTTCCTTCACCCCTCGAAGTGCCAGTTTGCATTGCCGCACGACCGTGCGGAAGCCGCCTTCCGCAAGGACTGCAGGGAAAACGAATCCGCCTTAGAGCCTCCACAATCGGTCGTTCTGGGCTTTACCTTGGGGTCTTCCTGGGTCTTGAGGGTGCTGCTTTGAGTTGGCAAGGCCCGTATCGGGCCCTCCTCCGTCGTGCCAGATATGTTAAAAGCCTCTGTTTAGGCCTTGCAGGAAATATTCACATGTATAACGTCTACTGTCAGCCCGTTCTTCAACACGTCGCCCAGTTTTATCCGATTACTGATCATGTTCGAGTTGCTGAACGTGAGGCTCTCCAGCAACTCCCAGTGGCACCGAGATTCTCGTTTTCTAGTGCGATTCTTTGTGACCTGAAGCGCTTTGGCATAACCTGCGAAGCTCGTGCAGTGGAGCCCTCTGCTCGTGCCGCTCTGTTCCGCGCTGCTCTGCGCTCTGATGAATTTGCCCGAGGTCGTGTATATCTGGAAGAGTTTACTCGACATGATGATTGTGAATTATTCTATATGAGATACCCCACATGTCGGAGCTCTTCTTTCATACAAGTACGTACCAACTTCGAGCCCCTTATCGACATTCCCGAGATCCCCACGGAGCTCACCAATGGCCTCCAGAGGAAAATTGTGCGATCCCTGACCCGTCTCTTCTACCCCCTCCCCTCTGTTCGCTCTTTTGGTGCACGTCTGAACTACTGGTGCCCCCTCTCCCCACAGCAATGCGATGAAACGATGACTAGGCTTTGTAGAATCGGTCAGAAACTCGGTTCCTGTGTTGCTAGCTCAGCGTTAAAAACGCTGTGCAATGCTTGGGCCACTTCCCGTCGATTCCGTGCTGGCCGTGCTGGATGTAGATTTGGTTGCTACGCCGTTGGAGGGGACGATATCCTCCATTATTTTGTGTGTCCGAATCTGATCCCCCGTGTCCGTGAGTGCCTTCCAAGCCTTCCCCCGTGCTGGGGATTGGATCCTATTCCCTCTTTTGTCCTTGCGCTCCCCCCTCTCATCGAGTCTGACAGCCTGCTCAGTGTCGGTCTCGCTATTGATGCCGTGCATGCCGCTTTTAACGCCCAGAGAACGTCTGGGGCAATCGGCCCCAGGTCTGCCCGCCTCTCACTTCCTGCCCGTCTGAGGGCAAACGCAATCAGATGCTCTGTGGCTCGTTCGTTAGTTCGAGGTCTTCGAGGTGCTGGGATGGACGAGTAGTGGACGGACTTTCCTGCCCTCTTCTCGCCCTCTTGCCCGCTTGCCCTCGTCGCGTTCTTCCAAGCCGAGTCATGTGTCGTCGTCGTCGTCGGCGTCGGCGTCGGCGTCGGCGTCGGCGTCGGCGTCGGCGTCGGCGTCGTCGTCGTCGTCGTCGTGTGCCTCGCGTGGACCCTTTGGGAGCCTCTGGGGGCCCCGTCGTCGGAGTCGGAGTCGGAGTCGGAGTCGGAGTAGTCGGAGTCGTCGTCGTCGTCGTCGTCGTGGGCCTTTGGAAGCCTCTGGGGGCCTCTGGGGGCCTCGTCGTCGTCGTCGTCCTGGGCCTCTGGGCCGCATGTCCAGGATTTGTTGCGGGTTTGCGTGCGCGTTTTTGCGGGCTTGCGCGCGCGTTGGGGGCTTCCGTTGTGGCCCGGGGGCGTTTTCCCTGGATCGGTTTGCGCATTGGGCGGCGCTGGCTTGCGCGGATCAGGGCTCCTAAAGAATAGCAGCGGCGCCCCCCCCATCCAATCTTTGGAGGGGTTCGCCTCCCACAGATTGTTCAACTGCGTTCGCTGGCAGTGCCCCCGTTGAAAAATTTAGTTTGGGGATGTCTGGGGAGGGTGGAGGAGCCCCCTCGCCATATCATCTCTCGGGAGGGGTTCGCCCCCCACAGATTTTTCAATCGAGTTCGTTGGCAGCGCCCCGGTTGAAAAATGCAATTTGGGGATGGCTGGGGAAGGCGGGGGAGCACTTCCGCAATGTAATCTTTAGGGAGAAATTCGTTCCCACAGATTTTTCAAACCCCAGCCTTCCTCAATTTCCCCGAGCTACATTTTTACACCGGGGTGTTGCCAGCGGACGCAGTCGAGAAACCTTTCGGAAGGGCTTTCCATAGTCGCCCAACCCATCCCATCCCGCTTTAACGCTCCAGTCCTGTCTACCACCCCCCGCAATCACCGAGCTACATTTTTCTCTCGGGGCGTTGTCAGCGTACGCAGTTCAACAATCTTTCAGGCTGCATGTCGCCATCGAAGGCCGCGTGTTGTCAGACATTTGGCTCGAGCTTGCTTTGCTGTAGCCGTTCGTTTCATCAACTGGCTCCTGCTCGTTATATGTCTTGGACGAGCGCCGGAGTGGTCGGTCTCGCAGTGAGGACGACTGCAGATGGCGGCGAGGCCTTTCGCATTCACAACAACTCAGAGTACGTCCCTTTAACATTCCATTCGAGGAAAGATGCCATGGAACACATGAAGAGTCTTGGCATGGATATCAAGGCGACGCACGACCCAGAGGCCGAGATTGGTCTCTTCCGCGCGCTCTGGCCCTTATTCGACAACTGGTTGCCGACCGATTATTTAAGTCATCGGGCCTGTGTTCAAAACCGCAAGACATCTTTCATTCAGCAAATTCTTGTGGTTTATGGCATTTATGTGCGTGGCAAAGAATACGAGTTCCGGAAATACTTGCTGGATTGGGTGTGTTCGCTCAATTCTCAAGACAGGTTCAAGCTTTTGCAAGTCACATCGCCTCGCGAGCACGAGAAATGCTATGCTTGCCAGCTCGTGTACACTGGACTTCGCAAGACATGCTTGAAAATGAGGCCCGTCGACCGTGCATGGGCGAA